AAAAAGAACAAAACTAAGCATGCAAAATAAAAATTAAATCAAATTAACTATAAAAAAAACATGCAAAATAAAAAATTAATTTGAATAAAATGAACTTAATGAATTCTACTAGATAGAGCATGCAAGATAAAGAACTATTTCAACTACGGGGTCATCTTTGTCTTCTCCAACGTCGACCTGAAACAGATACGGTGGCAAACATATTAATAATGAGCAACTGAAATTAATTATATCAAGTATTCTCACCTTCATTAATTGTAGAACGTAACATTCCAAAGTTTACAGGTGTGAAAAGTAAACCAACTCCAGAAGGAATACTGTAGCAGAGAATTTGTTATCTCAGTGGAATTCAAATAAATATCCAGTTGCTTTCAATCATGGTTTGAAAATTAACTGTATGATGTTACAAGGCGAAGACGAAACAGCAAATCAAGAATATAATCCCCGCATGACCACACCCATGTAGACATTGGCTGTTTCAGTATAACCAAACTGAACTTTAATTCTCTCCCATTTATTATATAACCTGCAGAAATGGATAAAAAACATATTAATTACACGTATAATTAAGAAACATAAATAAAAAGCAAGTAAAAATAGCTCAATTATAAAATAACAAGCGTTACTTTCACGCCATTTTACATTACAACCATAGATCNATAAAGCAAGTAAAATAGCTGAATTATAATAAAATGACTACAACTGTCATTTTACATCATAACAAATAACCCATAAGATCAATATAGAGCAATTAATATTATAAACGGCATGCATTCTCACCTTAAATAACTGCAGAAAGTAGCTTCCTAAGGTCCACAGGTAGAATTAACAAGCCAAATCCAGGAGGAATATCACTGCAGACAAGTTGTTGTTTCAGTCGTTTCCAAAGTAATTTTCAAATGCCTCCCCTTCTCAGGTTCAAAATTATGTTGCAAGGGTAAGACATCAAAAGCATCGACTCTTTCAGTACCATCAGAATTAGCTGTAATTTCTTCTCACTTGGACAATCTATAAAAACGGACAAGAAAACGTGGTTAATTACAACTTTTAAAGAAAGTAAATCAGTAATATTTTAATGTGGCAATGTGGAGTTAAAGTTAGAAGCTAACTTTCGCGCTGATGAAAAGGCCAGTTCCATGTTTTGCTTCTGCCACTTCTAAAACGTTGTTTAAAAGTCGTTTGATGAAAGTAAGTTACAAATGCCTAAGAAATTGAAGTTTCTGGGACCAGGATTAATATTTTTAATTTATATGGTTTACTTACCAGTTCATTTGTCATAAATCCTTCCTTCAGCAATGCCACACTGTATTCGTTCGTAATCGAAAAAAAGGCACTTTTGTGATTCTTTTTAGGACAGCTACTTTCTGAACCGAATGAACGCAGACACAACTAAGGCACTGTAAATTAATGCTATCCAGGGTTTTTTTTTAATGTTCCTGTGAAATTAAATCTTATGAGTATTCAGATATAATTAATTTAGCCTCCTTAGTAAATAATGTGCATGACACAATACTAAAGTTAATATCAAATAAATATACTAATTATGACATGTATGCTCACCGTGATTAATTAGAAGATCCTCCAAAATGAAACGAACATGGCAGACAACTAGCTTTTTCGGTTGAATCAAAATGAACACTCTTCCATTCTTATTTATCATCAATCTGTAAAAATAGAGAAGAAAAATGAATAAACTAAATAATTAATCAATTAAAACATGAAATACAATGAAAATACGCACCGAATAGCATATAAAATTGCAAAATTTTAAAAATGGCGACGTAGCGTCGATTTCAATAAAAGATGGCAAGATGGACAAAAACGTAGAACATCGCAAAATGTAATAAATTCATAGATTCATAAATAATTGTCAATTTATGCTGCGGTTATATAGATGACTATGAAGGAAAAACCTATAGAGAGTAGATCAAAAAGCAATTCACCAAGTCAACATTAATTATTTTACGTCTGTTCTTACTATAAATGTTCTTCCTCACTTCTCTAGGATCTTTAATCGATGTTCTCTTTGAATCTTTGTTCTCTATGAACTCTCATGATAGACTCTAAACTCAATAAATGTAGTGGCGCTATAAGCGCTAATTTGATTTTTTCAGAAAAAATTTAAACTGAAATTTTGTAATACATACAATTCTAACAAAATGGCGGGTGGTTCGACATTCTATTAACAAAAAAAGTAATATATGTTCGCCACCGCATGCATAATGTGCCAGGAAATTTTGTAATACATACAATTCTAACAAAATAACGGGTGGTTCGACATTCTATTAACAAAAAAAGTAATATATATTCGCCACCGCATGCATAATGTTCCAGGAAATCGTATGTTGCGAAAATTGACAATAAATTAATAATACACAATATTAATTGTACTGTATATGCTCACCTTAATAAAATCGAAAGAGAATTTTAATTTTGCATGCAAGGATGTTAAAATGAACATAGCTTTCCTTTTTTATTAGACCATTTGTCAAGCACAAATGCCACTCAATCAATTGGTGTCAATTAAATTAGCATATCTTCAGTAGTTTTTGAATCTAAAACTGAAACAATTTTCCTTTTTTTAACAGAACTAATAGACGCACAATTATGATACGTATTTTAATCCCGCAAACGACGCACAATTTATTGATAAAGTTTGAACAGTGGATTATGTATATCGTGCGTCAGATTCACACGGTTACCGTCGTAGCTTTATAACCATTTTATAACCGTTAACCTTATCTATGCTTACAGTATGCTACTCTATGAACATA